GCCCGTTGTTCCTGCATGGGGACAGTTATCCCCGTTTTGGGGCTGGTTAACCCCGTTTTGGGGCCCGTTGTTCCTTCTTGGGGACAGTTATCCCCGTTTTGGGGCTGGTTAACCCCATTTTGGGGCCCGTTGTTCCTGCTTGGGGACAGTTATCCCCGTTTTATGGTCAGTTATCCCCGTTTTGGGGCCGGTTATCCCCGTTTTGGGTGCTGCCGGCCCCTTTTGGGGCGGTGTCCCCGTTCAGGGGGTGTCCCTGTCCCAATTTCCCCCATCCCCAGGAGCTGGTGGTGCAGAAGGGCTGGCGCCTGCCCGAGTACACGGTGACCCAGGAGTCGGGGCCGGCGCACCGCAAGGAGTTCACCATGACGTGCCGCGTGGAGCGCTTCGTGGAGATCGGTGAGCCTGGGGCCGGGGGGCACACGGGGACCCCCGGGGTGTCTGTGGGCACGGGGCAGGGTGCCCTGGCTCACCCCAGGGTGCCGGGATCCCCTCCCCAGGCAGCGGCACCTCCAAGAAGCTGGCGAAGCGCAACGCGGCCGCCAAGATGCTCGTGCGGATCCACAACGTGCCGATGGAGCCGCGCGACGGCAGCGAGGCCGAGGGCGAGGAGGACCAGTTCAACATGGTACTGGGGGGCACTGGGGAGCCCCGGGGGCACCCCGAGGGGTTAGCAGGGGCGCAGGCACCCCAAAGCCACCCACAGTGGGGGAGGCTGCACCCCCCACTCCACGGCCCAGTGAGTAACTTGGGGGGGACCCTCTGGATTTGGGGTCCCTGTGGGGTGGGTGAGCGTGGTCCCCATGGGTGTCCCGGTGTTGGGGTCTCTGCAGTTCTCATGTCCCGGGGTGGGGGGCTCAGTGGTCCTGAGGGGTGTTGCGGGTTCCTGAGTGCCCTGTGCCCCCCCCAAGACGTGCCCCCGGCTGGAGGGGCTGCGGGGCCGAGCCCCCGGCTGTACCTGGGACTCCCTGAGGAACTCGGCGGGCGAGAAGTTGGGGCAGCTGCGGAGCCGGGGGGGGGCCCCTGCGCCGGGGGGGGCCTGTGCCCTCCTGCAGGAGCTCTCGGAGGAGCAGAGCTTCGCCATCAGCTACCTCGACATCGGTGAGCACCTGGGACCCCCAGGACCCCCTTAAGCCCCTCTGCCCCTCTCCAGGCACCTCCACCTTCCCCAGGGTACCCCCATGCCACCCGGATGATCCCAGGACCCTCTTAGCCCCTCTGCCCCTCCCCAGGCACCCCTACCTTCCCCAGGGTACCCCCACACCACCTGGACAATGGTGGGACCCCCTTAGCCCCTCTGCTCCTCTCCAGGCACTCCCACCTTCCCCAGGGTACCCCTATGCCACCCAGGCAGTCCAGGGTCCCCCACTTAACCCAGGGTATCCCCACCCCACCTGGGTACACCTGGACCCCCTTGGCCTCTCTGCCCCTCCCCAGGTTACCCCCACCTCCCCCAGGCACCCCCATCTCTCCCGGGATACCCTTTCAGCCCCTCTGCCCCTCCCCAGGCACTCCCCCCAGCCCCATGGGTGCCCCAAGCCGGGCTCGGGGGGTGCTGTGGGGGTGTCGGGGTGACCCCTGGTGTCCCCCCCAGACGCGCTGAGCCTCAGTGGGCTGCACCAGTGCCTGGTGGAGCTCTCGACGCAGCCGACCACCGTGTGCCACGGGGCCGCCCCGTCCCGCGACGGCGCCCGCGCCCAGGCTGCCCGCAACGCCCTGCAGTACCTGCGCATCATGGCAGGGGGCAAGTGACCCCCCGGGGGCGAGTGACCCCCCCGGACACACCCATGGGCGCACGGACACACCCCAGGCTCGCTGGACTCACGGCGGGGCACCCGGCCCCCAACCCCCACCCCCCGGACACAGGGACCCACCTGGGTCTGCGGATGGACAGACAGACGGACCTCAGGGCCCAGGGGCTCCCTCTGGCCTGGCCCCCCCCCGACAGCAGCGCCAGGAGGGTCCCCGGGCACCATCGGCCCCCAGGAATAAAGCTGGGGGGATTTGTACTCCCCGTGTCAGCGTCTGCTTGGGGAGCTGGAGGGGCTCGGGGGCAGAAAGGGGGCTGATCCCTCCTCCCCCTGACCCGTCCCCCAGGGGTAAAAGCAGAGTGAGCGCTCAGGGGTGGGGGCACCACTTTATTGGGTGACGGACGGACCCACGGATGGGCTTGGGAGGGGCTCGGCTCCAGGAGGGATGGACAGATGGACGGACTCGGGGCCGGACGCTCAGCGGCGGCGGCCGAAGCGCTGCGGGGTCGCCATCGTCCAGAACGGGGCGAGCGGGGGGTCCCAGCTCCGGGGGCTGAGCCGGGCCTGGGCCCCCCCCTGCGGCCCCCACCCCGACCTGCCGGGGGACACGGCACCGCTGAGCCCTGGCGGGGACAGGATGGGGACGGACGGGATGGCTGGGTGGGAATGAACGGGTGGATGGGGCAGATGGGAATGGGCTGAGGGACACGGACAGACAGACACAGGACGTTCACGGACAGACGGACATTAACAGGGACCCCCATCCCTGCACCGCTCCAGCTTCTCGCTCGGGTCCCCCGAAACCCCCCGTGTCCCCCTCCACCTCCTGGGTCCCACCGTCCCCATCCCCATCCCTCGGAGTGCCCGGGACGCCCCCCCCGTGCCCCCAGACCCCACACCCCGGGACCCCCATCCCCGCTCACCTCTGGGGCTGGAGGAGGGTCCCGGGGGCGCGGCCGGGGCGCTGCAGGGACCGGAGCAGCGCGCCCAGGGCGGCGGCGGGGGGCGGCCCCGGGGGGGCGGCGGCGGCCTGTGCCGGGGGAGGACCGGGGGTCACGGCAGTCCCGGAGCCGGAGTGTGACCCCCCCCCTCTCCAATCATCCCGACCCTCCCCCCGTCCCAAACCGAACTCCCCGTTCCGACGGCGCGGCCGGGCCGGGGCTCACCGGGGCCGGGTCGAGGGTCCCGGGGCAGCAGCGGGAGCTGCGCGGGGTCCCCGCCAGCAGCAGCAGCATCAGAAGCAGCGCCGGGCGCCCCGTCATCGCCCCCGCCATCGCCCCCGCCCCGCCGCCGCCGCCTCCTCTTATAGCCGGGCCGGGCCGGGGGCTCCCGGGGGAGCGGGGGGCGGCGGGGACCAGTCCCGGTTAATGAAACCCATTTACCAGCCGCGACAGCCGCCCCCGGGGACGGACGGACGGATGGACGGGGCGGTCCCGCACATCCCCGCCCCGCCCGGGACCCGCAACCGGCGCCACCACCGGGGCTGCCCCCACCGGCAAATCAAGACCCCCGGCCCATCGCCGGGACCCCCGTCCTGCACCGGCACTACCTGAAACCCCGGCCCGTGCTGACTCCCATCCTCCCTGCATCGCTTCCCTACCGGAGCAGGACCCCCGGAGATAGAGACCCCTCCCCTGCCCCGGTACCCCCTCTCTGGAGACTCCCTGAGACAGGGACCCCTCCTCTGCCCCGGTACCCCCTCTCCAGGGACCCCCCGAGACAGGGCCCCCTCCCCTTCCCGGGGACCCCCCGAGACAGAGCCCCCTCCCCTATCCGGGGACCCCCCGCGCCCCCCCCGCTCCGCCGCGTCTCGCTGCCGCCACCCGGTGGCCCCGCCGCGCTCCTGCAGCCCCGACGGCGCGGCCGCGGCTCCCTCCGACCCAAAACCTGCCGAAATCGCCCCAAACGCTCACCCGAGGCTGCCCCGCGCCACTGCGGCCTCCCCACAAGCAGCTCACCCGCTGTGTCACCCGGGGAGGGGACGCGACACGTCCCACGCCGTCCTGAGTCCAGGCGGTGTCACCGCGGTTGTGACCGAGGGTCATCACAGCACCCTCCACCCGCTGACACCCACACCGTGAACGCCCCCGGGCACACTCAGGGGTGTCCGTGGCACGGGTGACACCGGGGATGTTCCCCCCCCCTCCCCGGCCCCCCAAAAGCAGAGGGCAACAACCACCGTCTCCTGGGTAATATTTTAATGTTATATTTGCAGCATAAATAAAAGGCACGTTACATGTTTGGTACGACACGGCCGAGGGGGTTGTGGGGGGGGGCTTGGGGCGTGTCCCCCCGGGTCCCCCCCGCGTCCCCGGGCCCCCGCGGGGGCTGTGAGGACCCGCTCACAGGAGCCCGTGCGGAGGGGGGGTCCCTCGGGGGCTGCGGAGGGGGGTGGGTTTCAGCTAAAAAGGAGCTGCCCCGCGGCGGCGGCCGATCTACGATATATGGGTGCATATACGCGTCGATATGGACTGATAGATACTACACGGTTACGCTTCTCGGGGCGGGGGGGGAGGTCCTTTTTTTTTTGGCTTCTTCCATTATTGATCGTCAAAGCTCGTGGTACAAAAGCAGCTGGGTGGGGGCAGGGGGTGGGGGGAACGCCCAGGACCCTCCTCCCGCGTCCCTCTGTCGCCTCCTGGGCTCGATTTGGGGCATCGTCGCTGCCAGAGCCCCCCCCGTGTGCACGGAACTGGGCGGGGGGAACCGAACAGAAACGGGTCCACGGGTCCGAAAATGGCACATCTCCCATCCCATTTCCCATCCGAATTCCCGAACCAGGGACCAGTCTCGGTGAGGGGAAAAAGCGGCACCAACCCTTCCCACCCGCCCGGTCCTGAGGGACTCGGAAGCCAACGAGGAGAATTTTCATCTCTGCCAGAGGGAAAGGAGGGAAGGAGCAGGAGCTCCCTCATCACGAACTCCCCCGGGTCGTGGTTTTGAGCCATTTGTTCCTATTCAGTGTTACCGTTACGATAAAAATCGGTAAAACTCGACTCCCACGGGCCAGTCCTGCTGTCTGGGCTCACCCCAACTCGACCCCAACACAAAGGAGCCCTTTCAACCCTGCAGGGCTCCCATGAGGAGCCCCCGTGTCACCCTCCCCCCATTTCAGGCCCTGGCAGAGGGATGGAGATCCTGGGGACCCAAACACGGGATGGGGTTGGGGGCAGGCAGGTGGAAGCCCTGGGACACCCCAGGGTTCCAGGAGAGCAAAGTGCAGGTGCCCGGCACTGCCGAGCGGGCCCGGGGGCTGCCACCCCCCGGGAGCCTTGGAAAAGCAGGAGAAATCACCACAGAGCAGAAATCAGGTTGTTTTGCCCCAAAGGCAGCTGCAAAGTCTTCAGAAAAGAGTTGAACCAGCATGGGGAGGAGGAGGAGAAAAAGCCACTTTCATCCCCCCTGTCCTCAGAAGGGGATCCAGCACCACCAACCCGACAGAAAATCCAACTTCCCACCCAAAAAACCCCCAACCCCCTGCACATCCATCGCCAGCACCACGCCAGCCTGGGGAGGGAATTGACCCCAGTGAGGGACGAGCATCACCCCTGTGCCCCAAAGTGACTCCTGGGACATCACCCATCACCTGGATGGGAGCAGAGGATCCTCCTGAGGCTGGATCCCTGTGGATTCCTGCTTTGCACCATCCAACTCCATCCCAGCACGAGAAACGGGACCTGAGCCCGCTCTGGGATCTGCTTCCAGGGCAGCCTTTGAGGTAAAACACACATGAAATGGGCACAGGGAGCTCCAACCCTGTGACTGAAGCAATAATAAGTCCAGGTATGGCCAAATCCTTGTTCCCTGCTTGTCCCTGCCCAGGTTTGGAGCTTTCCAATCGCCTTTTCCTGGATTTGCAGAATTTTCAAGGCACTAAAGCGCTGGCGATGGGAGATGTGGGAATGGGCATCGGGGCATGGAGGGAGAGGGAGAAAAGCTGCTCCTGCACCCCCATCCCAGTGGGGCCACCAGGATTCCCTGGAGTGGTGAGGCAGGAAAAGCCCTTTGTGGGCTGCAGGCTTGGCTCTGCCATCACACAGAATCCGGCCACTTTTACTCCCCGAGGGTAAAACAAGGGGCTGGGGAAGCTGCTGCCTTTGATCCAAACACTGTCCCAGCTTTTCCACCTCACCACCCTTTGCTCACTCCTGATCCTGCCAGTGAAGCCCCCACTGGCCTTCATCTCTCCTTCCCCCCAGACCCCACAGCAAACAGGGAACCAGCAGTGGGACCAGCCCAGAGCTCAATTCCTTCCCCTTTCCACCAACACTTTTCCTGGAGGGACAGGTTTTCCTGCAGAGCTGAGTGCTGGAATGGCCCAGGAGGAGTTGCCAGACAGCACCAATCCCTCCACGCCATGGGATGAGACCTGCACCTCCTGCAAACCCTTGGCCTTAGGTCCTGATCCCCCCCAAACAGGCCTGACCCCCTGTTGTGCCTCACCCAGCCCCAAACCCTTAGAATCATAGAATCACAGAATCAGCTGGGTTGGAAGGGATCTCCGAGATCATCAAGTCCAACCCTTGATCCACTACGGCCTGGTCATGTCCTGGGTTGGGACTGGGAATGCTGGAAACATCTGTGAACCCAGGACTGTGCAGGAACAGCTTTACAGGAGGGAAAGGCGGGTCTGGGGGGATGTGTGGGATCCAAACCAGAGGCTGGATGTGACCCCAATTGCAGACAGGAGTTGGGATGAGCACGAGAACAGAGGGGAAGTGCAGGAGCAGCAACACAAACCAACCCCAGGCCACGAGTGGTCGGTGCGGCCGTAGAGGTGCGGAAGACTTGGGAAAGAGGGAGGGGGAGAAGACAGATCCCATCCATGGAAAAACCCAAACCACTGGACTCCCCTGTCCGTGACGAGATCCCAGGTTTCCTGCTCAGCCTTTGCTTTGGGTTTTGCTGTCCCTGGAAACCTTCCAAGTCTGGGGAAGCCAAACAAAAATCACTTGGACAAACCAACTTGGCTCCAAAGTGGCAAAGTGCGACCTGAGGGGGAGGAGGGCTTGGCTGAGGAGGAACCTGGGAAGGGGAGGAAGACCAAGGGCTGATGCAGCTCCATGGACCATGACGAGATTCCTTCCAAGAGCCTGAACACACGTGAAACCCCTTCCCATTTCCAAACTACCGGCTCCAATCGGCACCTTGGGAAGCACAGAAGGACACACATGGACACACACGTGCCCAAGGCCCACCTGGCAGGAAAACAGACCCAATTCCAAGAGTCTCCCAACACGGAGGGTGGGTTCCTAACCTGCCCTATGAACTGGAAGCTCCATGAATCCTTTGTTTGCTCTGGCTGGGAAGCAACGGATGCTCCATCACCGCGAGCAGAACATCATCGTGAGGAAGAGGCAGAGACACCATCCCCTGCTCCCTCCCCTCAGAACAGGCAACTAATCCACGATTTAAGGCCACCATTATTAAGGTCATCGAGGTCACGTGTGTGGGAGATGATCCCTGGGAACGGAGGGATGGGTTCGCTCAGGTGTGCGGGATGCCGGATTTGGGGACTCACACGTCGCTGCCTGCTGGGTCCTTCCCTGAATCCCAGAGTGCCCGGTCCCTGTGGATGCCCACCAGCACTGGTTTGCCATAGGGAAGACGGGAGCAGCCCCGTGGCTGCCTGGACAGGCCGTACCTTTCCCAGCACCCGGCGTGGGAGCAGCACCTGAGCACCCGCAGCTCCCGGCGTGGCACCGGTGACCGGGAACACGTGTCCCCTTCTCCCAGCCAAATTTACAGCGGCCACACTCCCGTCGTGTCCAAGATCCACCACTGGAACTCGGGAGTGAGGAGACCGACCTCAATCCCTGCAAGCTCAGAGCTCCAGGAGGCTCCTGTGCCAAGGTGCAACGTTTCAGGGAGCGGGAGCAGGGATGAGCAGACGCCTGGGAGCAGCACTGAGTGTCAGAGCCCCCCTGAGACCCTCTGCTGAGGGCAGGGGGCAGGGAGGGGGGGCTTGGAGCAGGGACTGTGCCAAGGGGATCCCCAGGCACGGAGGTTTAGTGTTACCGTGACGGATCCCTGCCAGCCCACCTTTCCGGGGGCTCCTCAGAGGGGGCTCTGGGAGCTGGGGGGGCTCTGCCCAGTGCCAGCTGAGGGACTGAGGGCACTGTACAGGCTGTGCAGTGGGAAAGCGCCAGAGCTGCCCTTAACTCAGAAAAAAAAAAAAAACAAACAACAAAACAAAAAAAAACCCCAAAAAAAGAAACGAAAATCCTCGTGGGCCCGCCCTGGGCAGGACCAGGGCCGTGGTCAGTCTGTGCTCGCCTCCGGGCCATCATCTGCCGGCAGACTGGGACTGTGGGGCCATGATGACGTGGGAGGGCAGGCCCAGCTCTGTCCTTTGCCCGGCCATCTGCGTCAGCACCGAGGTGGCCACGGCCTCGGCCGCCGAGCGCACGCTGAGCCCGTTCGGGGCGGCCGACGCGGAGCTGTGCTGGATGACGGGCGCGGGGGAGCCCGTGGGCTCCGAGCTCTCCTTCGGGCTCTCTGCTCCGACGGGGAAGGAGGGGAGGGCAAGAAGAAAATAAAGTTAGAGAGAGGCTGTGGGGGTGGGGGTGGTGGCTCTGCGAGGGGACGGGAGGTGTGGGTTGAACGCTCACCTTTCCAGCCTGGAGCAGAGAGAGGATGGTTCCTGTGGAATCCCAGCTCCCCCCACCAGGCCAGGCACTCCCCTCGAGGCCCCAGCCCACCCCAGGCAGCTGTTTGGCAAAAGCTGCCAAGCACTGGAAACAAAAACTGATTCAAGGACTGGAAATGAAACTGCTCTGAGCTGGGATCTAACGACCCTGCCCAGGTCCTGCTGGGCCCAGTCCCTTGGAGAAGCACCATGGAATCCTCCTGAATTCCAGCCAGGAAGCCACAAAGTGCAGGCTGGACCTCGAGGAGGGTGGCACTGGCATTACCTTCATCCTAATCAATGTTTTTCCTCGTTACAAGGAATTAACTTCCCCCCACGACACCTCCTCTTCTCCAGGCCACTGAGCCCCGAGACCGGTTGGGTGGGCACGGGAGGAGGTGAAACACAATCCCTTTGGCAGAGCCAAGGGCTGGGCTCTTCGGGGCATTTTTGATATAAATTACCTGGTTTGCTCTTAATTGTTCTCCAGGACATTAAAATCAACCAGAGTCCCCTTGTTTGCTCCATTTCTTTTGGTAGCTTTGAAGCAACGTGACTGAGGGGACAGAGCCCTTCTTCCCTGCTCTGTTCAGCTTCAGGACTTTGGATTCTCTCCCCCAAGGAGCCCCCACAGCTCCTCACCCAGAGGATAATTTGTGAGCTATCAAATGCCATGGTGAGGGCAGCCAGAGCTCTCTTTGGGGTACACACTCATTATCCACAGATGCCAGGAGGAAATTCCTTCCTGAGCACTTGGGCAGATGAATTATAGGTGGGATGGGGTCACTTTCCTTTGAAAAAGCCAAATTAAGGCAGGAATTGGGATACTTCTTCCACACCAAGACAGTGAAACCCTTGACACTGGGGGAAAAAAATCAGGGAAGGGGTTTATAACCTCACTGGGCACCAGAAAATGGACTCTGGGGCTCAGTTTTCCATCAGGTGCTTGGACATCATTCCCCTTTCCCAGATGGCTTCAACCTTCCCTCGGGAAACCTCGGCCTGGGTGAAAGCCATGGCAGCACAGCAGGTTGGAGAACGGGCTTGGAGAAGGCTGAGCAGAGCAATGTAATCATCTGGCATCCCCAAAATCAGGAGATTTACAAGATATTAAAAATAAACCACCCAAGTGTACAGGAGGCAGCTGCAATTCCATCAGGGAATCTGGGGCTTTGTTACAGGACCAGCCACAAATCTCAGCAATAAAAAGGGCAGAGGGGAGGGGGGCACAGGGGAGGGGGAGAATCTCATTTTTAGTATTCAGATGTGTCATGAATTCCTGTTATTGCAGCGGGCAGACTTGTGAGGAATAGTAATAGGAATTGTAAACTCTGGAATTTAACAGGGAGGAAAAAAATGAGGTCTCCTGCCTGGGTTCTGCAGGGCTGGGACACGGGGGCAGCCACGACCACATCACTCAGGCCCTGAGTCACTGCAGTGAGTGACAACGAATGGGCTGGGCCAGACCCTTCCAGGACAACATTCCCAGAGAGGGGATCAAGGGCCAACCCCCAAGGACATTGGCTTTTTGTAATTTATATTTTTGCTTCCTTGGCTTTTTCTGTTCCCCCTTCCCTTCTCTCCTCTCATCCATCCCTGCCTCTCCTCCCATTATTCCAGGCAACACTAGAGGACTCCAGTGTCCTCCCAAAGCCTCACAGCACCACAGCCTGGAATTGGTACTGCAGGCAGGGCAGAAGGACCCAGGATCATCGTGTTTAGCTCCTGGGTTGATTATAATGAAATAGGCAGCATTTAAAAAAAAAATAATAGAAAGAAAGAAAGAAAAAAAAGATAAAAAAGGAGGCTTTTTTGCTTCCAAACCGAGCCAGTTTGATGGGAATTGCAGAGAATGAGCTATGGAGCCCTATGATGTCATTTATAGAGTCTGGCCTTTCCTGACTCTGCCTTTGCTTTGGAGCAGCAAGAGTTTTTAACTTCAAAGAGAATATCAAGTGCTTGGCACGTTGCCAGGAGCAGGGAGAGACTCCAGGGAGAAGCAGACACGTGGATCTCTGTCCAGCATCCCACACCAGAGAGGCAGAGGGAGGCACACACCTCCTTCCCTCAAAAGATCTCGTGCACCAGTTAAAGTGCCAGTTCGGGGGCTCCTCCTCAGCGTGGGGGCTGCACCAGCAGAAGATGCCCCAAGGCACAGGTGGGATTCTTGGGGTGTCCTGTGCAGGGCCAGGAGCTGGACTGGATGAGCCTCGTGGGCCTCTCCCAACCCGGGGTGTTCTATATTCTCCGTGCCACGTGCCGTGTGCGCCATTCTGTGTTTCTGTGACACAGCTCTGCCCTCTCACTGCAGTGACTGGAAGCTGATGGGGCACAGACCGAGAGGAGAACTCCCTCCCTTCCTTTACAGCTCATAATCCTGACCTGCTCAGACCCACTCAAAGGTTCCAGGGACCAGCAGAAGCCCATCACTCACCCAGGTAGCCCTGTGTCTTCTTCTGCAGCGCCGTGACAGGACAGTCCTTGTGGGCCAGCAGCAGCTGCTTGAGCTGAGCCACCTCGTTCCTCAGCAGCGTCACTTCATTCTGAAGGGGACAAACACACATGGGCATCACTCACAGCAGCCCCAGGGTGTTCATGGGTGAACCCTGCAAACTAATCTGAGATACCTCCAGCCCTAGAACACCTGGCAAAGTTCCTGGATTTGAGGAATTTAGGACATGGGCTGCAGTGCTCCCCTGCCACCAGCTGCAGAGCCCTTGCTACAGTCACCTAACCCTGGGCAGAGCTTTTCCTGAGCCCTCCTGCCAATGTCACCTGCCTGAGGGACACTCTGGAGTGCTGCTGGCTCTGGTGGGACACGTGGGAATGTACAACCAGCCCAGCCCAGGCCAGGTCATGGGGGGACACTGCAGCTTCTCCACGCTCTCAGTACCTCTGTGAGCTCCTGTGAGCCAGGTCTGCTCCCAAAAAACCTGTACAGCAGATTATTCCACTGCCCAAGGAAATAGTTTCTATAATTGCCTTGGGAAGAGAATAAAAACACCACGGTCAGAGCTCCAGTAAAGATCCCAGTGCCCAAGTCACTGGCCCAGAACAGAGCCAAGCTCAGTCCTCACCTCACCCTCAGCCAGTGCTGAGAGCACTAACAGGGCTTGTGGCATTGGGAGTGAAATCTGTATTTTCAGGTGTGCTGCACCTCTGCTTGGCACGCCAGGGTGCTGCCAAGAGCCAGGGAAAACCAGTTCTCCAGAGAAAAATCAGTCTGCAGAGCCTCCCTGTTCCCCCCTGCCGGGTCCAGTGTTCGGGGAATGGAGCTGGCAGAGCTCTCCCTCACTCAGGGAAATTCCACTCTGGGAAAAACAGCTGCTTCCCGAGGCTCCATGTGCTGCCTGCAAGGTTGGCAGCCAGAGGGCAGAGCCTTTCCAGGGGCAACAGGGAGAAAAAAATGAGCCCTGAGGTGCTCTTCCCCCAGGGGCTGCTTTTCAACCCATCGGGATGGAAAGCCAGGAGAGAAACCTGGTCAGGGAGGCAACAATCCTGCTCCAGAGAGAGCAGCACCCGAGCGCACGTGGGCTCTGCGGCACGGGGCGGACGTTCCCTCTGGAGCGACGTTCCCAATGCCGGCCACGGGCTGCTCTCAGCCCCGGTTACATACTCACGCTCAGCTGGATGTTCTGGGTGGTGAGTTCCTCGGCTTTCTTCTCCAGGGAGGACACCCAGAGCTTGCGTTTCTGCCGGCAGCGGGAGGCGGCCGCCCGGTTCCGCTCCAGGAACCGCTGCCGGCGCTCGTCCGGATCCTCGTCCACCGTGCGCTTGCGGCGCCCGCCCGTGCTGGGGGTGGGCTGGGCAGGGGACACCTGGGGATGGGGCAGGTGGGAGACACTGAACGGCAGCTCCGGGGCAGGCAGAACACGGCGGCGTCACCACAGCTTGGCTGGGAGAGCTCAATCCCGCTCGATCCCGCTGCCGTACCCGCCAAGGTGCCATCTCTTGTTTGGGGTCAGGAAGTGTCACGGAGCAAATGGCAGTTTCTGAGCGGGCAATCTGCTTAAAAAGTTAATTTGGGTGAACTTTCCCCCAGTATCTTCAGCTAACCAAGCTCTTGGAGGTAAATGGTACCAAAGGATTTTGTAAAGCTGCACTTTTCCCAGTTTTATTTTGGGAGAACAAAGGAAAAGCCAGCGAGGGCTGATGGTGCAGCAGCCCCGACTGCAAGGGGCAATTACACCCGGGGAGTGCAGCCACACTCCAGCACTCGCTGTCGGGCAGCATATGGATATTAAAACTTCTGGAAGCCCATCCAAGTGACGGAGCAGGTGGCGATCCTGATGGAAGGCTGGCATTTGGCTGGCTGGCAGGAGCCAGTGGAGCTGATTGCCTGAGAGGGGAGCGTTTAACCCCAGTAATTGAGCAGGGAGAAGAGAGGGAAATATTCTTTCCAAACTCCAGACCTCGTCAGGCAAATGAAAGCGGTGCTGGAGCTTCTGCCTGGTGGGCTGTGAGCAGCATTGGAAAAACAGGGCTTTAACCCGTTCTGCAAGGGAGGAAGCTGCGGTTTTCCTCCTCTTTCCCCAAGCCCAGGAACCCCCCAGCACCTCCAGCCCTGCCTTGTGGGGCAGCAGCAGCAGCAGACCTGTGGCTGAGCCGGGGAAGGGGCGTCGGGGTGCTGGACAAGGATCTGGCTCTGCTCCGGACGCGCCGTCACCATCGTGCTGGCTGAGCCCACCACCAGGTTGCTGCCGTTCAGCGAGGAGGAGGCCGTCAGGCTGGCCTTCAGCCTCTGTGGAAGGAGGAGAAGGGACATCAGGGGACCTGCTCTCCGTGCTGCCAAGGCTCTGAGCAGCTCCTGTCACCCAAGGAGCCACTCTGCCTGGAACAGGCTCTTCAGAGGCTGTGGCTGACTCGAGTCCAACCTAAAGCCATCACCATCTGGCCTGCCCGAAGAGAGAGCAGTGTCCAACCCAACAGACAGGTGTCACATCCCAAAATTGCTACTGCCACTGGCACTAAACCCCTCCCCAGCTGGCAGGCTCCATGGAAAGCCCGGGGACTGAACAGGCTGCAGAGCCCAACTGTTCCTGAGCACACACAGAGGGGTCCTAGGGGATGGAGAAGGATCCACACGTGGTTTGCAAGTCCTTTCTCTGGGCAGCCAGGCCAGCACGGCTGTTTTGTGCCTCAGTTTATGATCTCTCTCCCCACCTGAGGCTCTGATCTGCCCCTGAGTCCTGCAGACTCAGGAGTGAGGACAATATGCTGGCAACTGTGAGCAGCACTGCTGGGAGAGTTGGGTGTGCAAACACCTGCCCAGGCCAAAAAATGGGGGCTTCAGAGAATCGTGGAATCATTGAGGCTGGAAAAGCCCTCTGAGATCATTTGAGTCCTGGCACTGCTGAGCCATGTCCCCAAGTGCCACATCCATCAGCTTTGCTTCCCCTGTGCCACATCCATCAGCTTTGCTTCCCCCCTGTGCACACCCAGCCTGAGCCATGAGGAGCCACGAGAGGAAAGTTCCTCTTGTAAAGTCTTAGTTAATGGGTTTGACATGAAAACCATGATCAGGATCTCCTGAATTACAGCCCAAACCTCTCCTCCCGTGGCTCTGCCTTCCTCAATCCCACCTCCATCCCATCTGCCATCCTGGAACCAGAGCTCCAGCTTTACCATCAGCCACCCCCAGGCTGGGGACAGGGTTTGTCCTGACACTCATAGCCTCCCGTGCTGCCAGCGCCGAGCACTGAGTGCTCCAATGTTCCTGGTGGCACTTCCAACACCTGTGCTGGGAGCAGGAACTGCTCTGATGGCTACACAGGATTCCAGAGGAATCTTCATGAAGGCTGTGGGGGAAAAGCCTCCAGCCGGGAGTTGCTTGTGGAGGTGGTGGTGAAGGCTGAGGGACAAGGACAACACCGTGACCGTGACCCCCTCCCCAGCACTCACCATTTTGGCTTCAGAGTGCACTGGGAGTCCTGACGGGGAAATGGACCCGCTGCTGTTGATGGGAGGCCCAGGAATACCGGGAATGTTCGGCACCATGGACATCGGCCGAGCCAGCTGTGGGGGAGGAAGGGACATGTGGGTTGGGAAGTTGGAGGTGCTTTGGCTCCGTGGAGCAGCTCTGCAGTAACTCCCTGACCAAGCACATCCATAAATCCTGACAAACGTTTAACTGCGGCCATCCGTTATTCCTGCTGTCACTGAGGGCCACCAGCCACGTTGGTGGCCACGGAGGCTGTTCCAGAATCACCCAAACAAACCAGCCCAGCACAGAGCACAGGGAGGGGGGCAGCTCCTTCCCTTCCCTTCCCTGCCAGTGGGCTCTCCCCCACCAGTACATGCCACGGATGAGAGGGAGGGTCCTGGATCCCCCCTGGTTCTATTGCAAAGCTGACACAGCACCCACAAAAGGGGAGCGTCCCCTCCTGAGCTTTCTCCCTCAGCAAAGGGAGGGAAAACCAGAATTTGGTCATGTTTATAAGCCCCATGGGTGGCAAAGCACTGCAAATAGGGAGGGAAGGGGTGAGGATGTTCCCATGCCCACAGGCCATGAGTAGAGGTGCACCTCAGGCAGACAGCTTTAGCCCTTGTGCACTCAAAGCCCCAAGGACGTGCCCAGCAGGACAGACAGGATTCCCAGGGCTGGGGATCAGGAGCTGGAGAGCTCGGAGGACACACTCAACCCCCACCAGGCAGATCTGCAGTCACTCTGCCCCACAGAAAACCCTCTGTGTGCAGAAGCCCAAGCCGAGGCTGGTCTGGCCGTTCCCCTGGCCAGCACACACCAACATGTTCCCTGCAAGCTCCGGTGGTTTCAGTGCAGGCACACTGTTCCAAATGGAAGCAGCTAATCAGGGATCCTGCAGCTCCCAGCCCCGGATCGATGGCGTGAGCCATCTGTCCGGGCACGGATTTGCTTTTTTCCCCAAACTTATTGCCCTCTAGTGTGATCCACACGTTATTGCTGCCCTGCCAGAGCTGCTCCCTCCTCCTCTTCCTCCTCCTCCTCCGGTCTTATCTCGCACCGAGGGGGAGAGGGATTTTAATGTTTATGAAATGGAAGTGTCTGTGTGTGTTTGGCAGGGGAAAGGCCCATCCCCTCCTCCACACGGGGCTGTGCTGGAAGCTTCTCTCACCGATATGACAGAAGGCATCTGGACGGGGGGGCCGGGGAGCACGGGCACGGTCTGGCCGTTCGCAAGCTGCACGACGAGTGGGAGGGAACCTGTGGGAGACCTGCAGAAACAAGAACCGGAGTTCTCACAGATTATTCCAGGTTTACGACGTCCCAGCGGCCCCAGGAAGCTCAGGGGCAGCAGCGTGAGTGAATCCAGTTGGTGGATTTGGGCTCATTTCCCCATTTCTGAGTGGTTTGTTCTGAAGGGGAGGGTGCAGAGCTCAGCTGGGGGGGTGTGAGGGTAACTCGGCCTCCTGCACGCTCATGGCAGTGTCACACTGAGGTGACCAGGCTGGCAGTGATGCCCGATGGCCCTGCACACTCATGGCAGTGTCACACTGAGGTGACCAGGCTGGCAGTGATGCCCCATGGCCCTGCACGCTCATGGCAGTGTCACACTGAGGTGACTGGGGCTGGCAGTGATGCCCCATGGCCCTGCACGCTCATGGTAGTGTCACACGGCCTGTTCAGGGCTTTCAGGGACACATGGATGTGCCCTGGGCATACCCCAGCTGCCCAAAACACTGTGGTTGCCAAAGCCCTGAGCCACGATGGCCACCTGAACAGAGAGAAAAACACATCCAAGGGCCGGATGTGCTGGAACTGCTGGAACTGCTCCTCCTGGGCTGAGCCTGGCACTGCCCGGGCAGCTGCTCCTGCCTACAGGGAACCTCCTGGTCTGTCCACTGCTGAGCTCCCAACAGGGGGTTTTGTAAGGATTCAGCTTCCCATTAACAAGGACTTCTGACTCCAGAAAAAAACCCCTAAAAACAGGGGGGATGCTGGGCTGGGTTGTGTTTACACGGGGAGATGGGAACTGGGAGATGGGACATCCCAGCTCACTGCAGGCTGGGGAGGAGGAGATTGTGCTGGAGCCTAATTGTGACCAATTAAAAATACCAGGAAATATTTCTATTGTAGGTCCTTCTGCAGTGAAAGGCAGGGATACACCCCACTCAAGGACACATCCCAAGCAGGGACGTTCCCCCTGCCTCTATCCCACCACAAACCCCACTGTGCTCCAGCTCCATCTGTTCGGACTCAGCCTTTCCACGAGAGCAGAGGAAGAGCCAGAGCTGCTCCAGATGATGGGGAGAGGAAGGAAACCACCCCTGCCACAGGGCCTGATCTCCTGCTCCTCCTCCTCCAGCCATGTCAGTGCTGTGGGGAACCAAGTGGAGGCAGAGCCGAGCTGGGAGCCCGGCCTTGCGGGAGGGAGAGTAAAATAAATCTGCTGCTGCCTCCTCTGCCAAGCCCGGGGAAGGGGCTGGAGGAGGCTGGGCTGCCTGGGATCCTGGGAGGAGGCTGTGCTGGCACGGTGGGAGGAGCAGGGGACGGTGGGAGGAGCAGGGGACGTGGGTCAGAGGGGGAAGTTCATCCTGCCAATAACTCAGGCTGGAATTTTTAAGGCTGCCTTGGGAACGCGAACGCTCGACTCTCAGTCATTTCTATTGGGCGTCCCAAATCCTCCAGGCTGCTTTGGAAATCCCAGCCCAACCAGGCGAGTTACAGGGAGGTCACAGCCTCCCCTCCATCTCTGTCACGCTGACACCAGCCCCACCACCTTGGCAGTGGCCCTAATGAAGGGACCCTTGTTACCACTGCAGCCCCACCTCTCTGTCTCCAGGTGGGATCTGGGCTGCAAAGAGCACAGCAAATCATACTAAAGCCTAACCTACTGGACACAGCTCCAAACAGCCCCAGAGTCTCGGCCTGACCTGCAGAGGGGCTTACAGTGTCCTGTAGCTACCCCTTAACCCCTTCATGCCTCAAGACAGCATTTAAAACTTTCCATCAGGCCGTCTGGATTGATGGTGCCAGAGGGTCAAAGGCAAACACACATAAAACCATGAAGTGACAGCCCCAAAAATACAAAGTGGGCTGGTTAACACAGGGAGCCAGCCCTGACCAGGGGTGACCAGGGAGGAGAAGCAGGAGCATCCTGACACCAAACAGACAGGGGGCTAAACATGCACCTCCCAGGGGCTCAGCAGTGTGCTCCCTCCGTCCTCAGGCTCCTTCCTTTATGTGCAGGGCCGGAGGAGCCGGAGCCTCCGTCCTGGTTGTTCCAGGGCAAACAGAAGCAAACAGCCCCCCCAAGGCAGGGTTGGCTGGGCACAAGAGGTGACACTCGAGAGGCAACAGCTGTCTGGGAAAATCCCTGAGCCGTTTCAGCTCCAGACAATTCCGCAGCGCCGGCTCTGCCCGCGCCCGGTGCCGACAGCCAGCGCCGTGTCGGCGTGTTCATGTTCAGGGAGTGTTTTCATCTCTCCCCACAGTGAGTTTTGCCTCGTCTCGTTACTCCAGCACAATTAGTTCCCGTTTCCTGCACTCCCATCCCATCCTGCTGCTGCAGACAGTGCCCAGCGAGGCCCTTATGCCCACGCAGTGCAGCGGGGCCGGCGGCACCTCCGTGGGTCTGGCACTCAGGGAACTCATCCAGGGGGTAATTCCTGCCCCTGCTCCGTACTCACCCCAGCTGTCTGTTGGAGGGAGGGGCCTGGGTGATGACGGAGGTGGGGGATGGCAATGTGGGGTGCAGGGGGTCGTAGCCCAGGTGCAGGGGCAGCGAGCCGGGGCGCACGATGGTGGGAGTGGGCGTGGAGAGGATGACAGGCTTGGAGGGGATCTCCTGGAAGGGAAAACAGAAAACAGGGGACCCGCTGTTAATTACCAGTTAATTACCACAGGGCTGACTCTTCCTCTTTAGGGAAAATTCAGGCACTTTTGTCACAGAACCCCAGGGATGGAGGGGAGCACCTCTCCCAAAGACACACCTATCTGGTGTCAGTGCAGGGAGTGGGGCACAGGAATTTACACTCCAGATAATCCCCCCCTCCAAATCCCCACCTTATTCAGGTGGTGAAAGTGTCACTTGGACCAACCTGCTCCAAATCCCCACCCCCCAGGACACAGGGAAGAGCAAGGCTTTGTGCATCAGCCAAACCCACCGGGAGCCTCCAGGGCAGCAACGGTGCATTGTAGTGAACTGTTTCTGTCTCAAACGAGGGAAATCAGGCCTCAAAGAGTACAAATCAGGCCTGGGCAGCCATCTGGAGAAACAGCTTCCCACCTGGAAAAGGGGCACCACCACCTCGTGCTGGGGAGCCTCACCTTCTCCTTGTGCTGGGGTGACCGTGGGTGGGACACGGGGCTGTCTGGGGGGGACGAGTCCACCTCCACCGGCTCCTCCTCCTTGATCTTGATCTCGGGAGTGGAGGGCAGGGACATGTCCAGGGCTCCGGCGCTCTGCGGGAAAAGCAGCCACGGATTGAAAGGACAATTAGCTCATATTGTTTGCGAAACATTCGGTTGCTCCCAGAGGAAGAGCTCCAGCTCCGAGCTCTTGCCAAATTATTATTATTTATTTGTAGTGGAGCAGCATCTGGGAGCCCGAGGCAGCAGAGCGGTGCCGTGCCGGCCCCGGCCAAACAGAGACGGAGGCCCAGGAACGACAGTCAGCCCCAGATGGCACCAGTTTGTGGGTTCTCAGTAACACACACGAGTTTTCCACGGCTTTTTTGTACATTTTCTTTTTTTTAATAAAAGGGCTCTGCTGAGGAGGACAGGTACCAAAGCCAAATGCCTGCGAGTTACAGGAGGCACTTTCATTCACAGAAGAGCTGTAAAGCATTGTATAAATCAGCCTGAATTATTTTATTACCCGATTATCAAAAGCAAACAAAGAGCCATGCGAGTTATTAAATATCTATGAGCGCCCCATTAAAATAAAACCCAACCATATGCCTGAACCTGGCGACTTGCCACCACCCTGGGATCCAGCAGTGCCACGTGCCCCAGTTGAACCAGTTAACAACTTGCTGGGGCTGCAGGGTGACAACAAGGTGGGGGGACAGCTAAACTGAGCGAAACCTGTCCCCTTCCAAGAACTGGAGGGAGAGAAGAGCCAGGAGAAGATGGTGCAGGGAGCGGCGGAGGAGCGAGACACGGATGGCAGGATGCGGCACCAAATCACCCGGTCCCTCCTCCCGGCCGGGCAGGAGAAACTGTCCCTAAATCAGCCCTGACAGCTGTTTGTCCAGCCTGTTCTCCCTCCCTTCACCATCCATCCCCACGCTCCCCTTTGCTGGCTGAAAGTCCATCCTGGCATCTCCCCTAAACCCCCTCCTGCCGCACTGTGAGTCCTCTCAGGGCAGGGAAAACTGCAGCAAAAGGGTAAATACAGACACCTAGGGATGGTTGAGAGCAGGATGAGGCTCCAGCCCCTCTGCTTGGGGGTGTTTTAGAGCAGGATGAGGCTCCAGCCCCTCTGCCCTTCCCAGATTTCCTGGGGGCTTTGCTTGCGGTAGGTGCAGTAACCATTTACCTGCCCTCTTCACGCAGAGATGTTGCTCTGGGAATCACAAAGGAGCAGGGATTAACATGCAGGGAAGTTTCAAACCACTTAAAGTGCCTCCAGGGAAGCTCCTGCTGTGCCTGTGTTTTTAATTAAGCGCTGGTGTGAGACCACCCTTGGAACTGGAGGACAAACACGACTGGATGCTGGAAGCACCTCAGAACCGCAGCTCCGGACAGGTCCAGGCAGTGACCAGCCAGCTGGGCACGGGATCTGCCTGGGCAGGGGGGTTTTGAAGGATGATGCTTCCCGTAACGCCCGACACCACCCCAAGCTTCACAAGCCCCCTCCGCGGCTGCCGCAGGAATATTTAGACTGCAGCCATCCTAAAGCAAAACCCAGGAGAGCAGCCCTGGGCCCGAGAGAGGCGGCTGGGAGGCCGCAGAGCCCAGGAGCTGGGTGGTCTCCCTGCCCAGACCCGGCTGCTTCGGCATTTCCATGTGAAACCCCAGCGGCGGCTCCTTCTCCCGGCGCTGCCAGAACAAAGGGCAGGAGCTGGGAGCGGGGAGCAGCCCCTCCGCATACCAATGAGAGAGATCAATTTCGGTTTAAAGAGCCTGTTATTGGGGGAGCGGGTGGAAGCCAGGTTTCAGTTTTAATTCTGAATTCCTCCGTTCCCCATCTCGGGAAGATTTACGCGGCTCCGCTCCCGCAGTTTATTTCCGAGCAGCGCCGCTGACTGCGAGCGTATGTACGGACATACATCAATTTAGTAAATGTATGTGCCAGGCTGAGAGCCCGGCACGCATCTGCTGCTCCTCGAATCCGGCAACGGGAGGAGGGGGGGGGAAAAATGTCCTTAATTAGCTGCTTTCTGATGAGATCCCGTTGTCCTTCAGACCCTCGCGCTCCCGAGGCTGCAGGGGCAGCCTGGATCGATGGCGCTTTGCAGAGGGAGCTCTTTGTTAGGAAAAGCTTCCCTCCTCCACGGAGCCCCTCTCTCTGTTTCCATGTACCAGACACACTGGAAATGCCAAAGGCACGGGCCAGGCCTGGTCCCTTCCTTGTGACTGCACCTTAGAGGCACCATCATTTCGGATCTCGACCCCCAAGGAGGCTCTGAATGAGATTTTGCCGAGATCTTGTCCTGTCCTTCCCTGCAGCTCCTTCCCAAAGTGCGAGGCATTTTGGGTACTACCCCCCTCCTTTTTTTTCCCTCTTTCTTTTTTTGAAGTGAAAAGCCAAAGGAATAATAAACCATTAAATCCTTTCTCCGCAGGGCTCGGATCGCAGGATAACCAGCCAAAGTCATCCGAGTTACAAAAATAAAGCCCCCCACATGGCAGCAAATTAAACCTGAGAGCAACTCAGCTACCCGAGGGCATGTGCCTTTCATCAGAGCAGCCCCTGCCCCCCCAGCCCCCCGTGGCCCTCCCCTCCAGTTTGCTCCCAGCACAGTTTTATGGCACCATGGCCTTCGCCTCTTGCCTTTTTCTCATCATCCTCAGCAGCTTTCTTGAACTCGTGCTCGAAGGAACTCGCCAGCTCATTGAAGAGTCCCACCTCCTCACAGTTCTTCAGGAACCGAGTCGGGGTCGGAGTCTGATCTGGTTTGGGTTAGAACACCAAGAACTGGGTCAAAGAGAGACCAGAAAATGCGTTTCACCCACCTGGGTCCTTCCCTGGGGAGCCCTGGGGAACGTGGCCTCTGTTTTGTGGAAGTCTGGGTGCTCTGCCACTGAGGTGCATGTCACCTTCTGAAAGCAAGTGACAATTCAGAACGGGACAACCATTTCTCGTTGGTTTTGTTTCCCTGGTGTTTAAAGAAATAATCATTGGAGCAAGGGGGACTGCAGGGATTTCTGTGAATTCCGGGCTGTGGGTTGTGTCCTGCCCCTCCCATGCCGAGGTTTTGCTCGTCCTCAGCTGGACAAGGAGGGAAAAGTCAGGGGGGTTTGATCTCCCTGAAACAGCAGATCTTAAAAACATGGAGTGGTGAGAGGGTAAAGCAGCTGATGGGAGCAGCTCCACGGCCGGGCAGAGTCCTCACAACCACCACTGTCCACAGCCATCCCTCCGGGGCTGTTCTCCACCACATTAACACGTTGAGTCATGATCTCTCTGGCCATCACCCAGGCCATAAAAGCAGAAGGAAAACTCTCTGTTTTCAGCCAGCCTCCCATTCCCGAGTGCCGGCAGGTCAGGAGTCCTGGAGCCTCGCACGTCACACCCAAAGGATCCATCCGGCAGAAAACTGCCAGGATTTTCATGCACAAAGGGGATCCCTGGGACAGTCTGGCCTGACCTGCATTAAACACCAGCTGCCTGGTGCTCCCGGTTCCAGCACAGCACCTGAAGTGTCTGTGGAAGACGTGCCCCATGATTCCACACCGGGCAGGGTGGAGCCTCCTGTATCCTTTGGGAAGGGACTCCAGCAATTCCTCGCCTTGCTGCCGAGGAGCTACACTTCATTTCCAGCCTGACTCCAAACCCTCCCTGCTGGGTTTGTCACTAAAGCAAAGGCCCCCTTTGGGCACCTTTCTCTTCCCCCCAGGTCCCAATTCATAAACCCAGGAACTTTGTCAACTAAAGCTCTCGGCAGGAGGTTGTTTTTGCAGGGATTTATCAGCTCCCAGGGCTCTTTTCAGACCATTCCCTGTTTAGCAATGTCCTCCTGAGCTGCACACGCCAGCTCAGGGCACAGATCTCCAGCAGTTTCTACGGAGTACAAACAAAGCCGTGGAACCTCTCTGGTCCTGCCCTTCCCCAATCCGTACCTCAGGAATTGCAGCAGCTCCTGTCTCACCCCACAAGTTCCCATATAAATGACTCTCCTGCTGCCAGCTGTAACCAGCCCAGAGAACAATTCTTTACGACCCTCCTTAGCTCAGCCACGGCGCCTCAGCCAGACACGCACCGGGTCCTGCTCCTGCCACACGGCTGCTGCCCTGGGCTCGGCACAGAGGGAGGGAGCAAGAAAACCCAGAGACAAAATGGTGGCTTAAAAACCCCCCAGGACAGAAGGAATGTCAGGCAATAACGGCCTGGATCTCACTGCTCCAAGGCAGCAGGGTTTATAGCCCTCACACCCCCTCCAGCAGCTCCGGCAGCTCCTGTGTTAGACAGGCTGGTCCTGCCCTGGCTATGGCTAAATCAGTTTTGAGGGGGTTCAGCTGGTCCTGCCCTGGCCATGGCTAAATTGGTTTTGAGGGGGTTTAGCTGGTCCTGCCCTGGCCATGGCTAAATTGGTTTAGGGTATTTTTTTTTTTTTGTTGCTTAGCCCAGAGCAACCCCCTGAGCATCAGCCCTGGGGGAGCTGGAAGAGGAGGCCAGACCTTGTTCCTTGTGCTAAAGCTGAAGTGTTTCATCCCCCCAATATTTACCTGAGAAAGGAACCACCAGCTCTGGGAGCTGTGAGGATGAGGGGTGTCATGTGGGATTTTGGCTGGGGGTGAGGCCAGGCCCCATTTCTGCCCCCTCCCCATCCCCATCTGCCCAATCTTCCCCCTAAACTGATCCAGCAGCACCGACCCTCCTGCTGTGGTCCCTGTTTGGAAAGGGCTGAACTGAAGCAAAGGTGACCCTTAGGAATCTGAGTTTCTGTCAGCTTCTGCCCCAGTTCCTTGCCATCAGCTCCCATTAGCCTGATCCCATTTGGAATGAATTCTCCCTCTGGGAGAGCCCTCCCCTGGGAGCAGCTCCCTGCCCTCCCAGCACAGGCTGTGTGAGCTCTCTTTCCATCCTATTCTATCCTTCCAGCAACAATTCATTCGAAGCCTTCCAGAAACCAACTGATTTCCCATTTCAGCACTGGATTTGGGCTGGAGATACACTGGGAAAAGGCTGCCAGGCTGCTGCAGCAGCTTCGTTTCCCCTTATGAACTCTGAAGCCTTCAGGAAGCATTTTCCCTCTCCCTGCTTTCAGCAGCATCCTTTTCATCCAGCAGCAACACAAACATCTCACATGATGCTTTGAGCACCCCCCGAACAGGGCAGGAGGGGCTCTGGAACCTGCCAGGAGCTGCTGCCAGACAACAATCTGTGGGGTTTGGTTTTTTCCCCCAATTTTATAAAGGCTGCTTTGACCATGTGTTGTCAGAGCTCCTCACTGGGGCTCTGCAAAACGCCTTCACGGCAGAGCCAGTGCACCTGATGGGGCTTTAATTTATTAACTGCAGCCTAAAAGCTCAGGAAAATTGACACCTGGGCTGAGAGGGGAAGCTGCTTTGTCAGGTTTGGTTCATCGTCCTCAAAGCACACGAAAAAATGTGAAAGACCTTCTGGCCATAAATCCTCCAGTCTTAATAAAAAAGGGCGAGAGCTAAAAAAAAAAAATAAAATAAAAAAAAATAAAAAAAAACCCCAAACCCCACAAAAACCTGATACCACCATAAAAAAAAAAAAGAAAGAAAAAAAAAAAAAGAAACTTGGAAGCCTCTGGCTTTCCTTTCCCCTGATTAAATGCAGATCACAGGAGGTTTTATGGGCGGCAGAGCCGTTTTTGCAGTGCATCTGGTCCCTGGCATCAATCTCTGCCGTCAGGCCCCGCGACCGCGGCGCTGGGCGCTGGCCGGGCACATACCTGCGATGATGACGGAGTCGGTGCGAGCGGGGCCGAATTTCAATGTCATCTCATGCTTGTGTTTATGAACCGCCAGGTGGTCCTCGTTTGTGAACCTCTGAAATGAAACAATTTAGAAAAATGGTGAATAAATGCATTTGGTGTTTTACGGGTCCGTCCTGCGGTGGAAAGGGGGGGGAAGGACGGCGGGGCCGTAACGCGATCGCTGCTGAGGGCTGGGAGCTGGGGAAGGGGTGTGTGAACAGGGGGTTCAAAATGAAAAGCCATTAACGAGGCTTCTGGGGGATGGGATGGGGGGCAGCTATTTTTTAATAATCCAGGTTTTTAAGTGCCGGAGCAACACGGCGGCTGCAGCCGATGGAAATGCAGACCCGCACTGCTGGGCAACATCCCCGCTCTACTGCCGGCTGATGGAGCAGGGAATTAGGTGCTACTGGAGGTCAGGCAACTTTTTTGGGATGGTGTGAGGCAGAGCACAGGCGATTCAGGCCGTGGGTTTACGGAGCAGGATGGAGCGGCCGCCGATCCCGCGGAGCAGGGGGTGCATCTCACCCGCCGCCAAAATTCCACCTGCAGGGAGAACCGGAGGACAAACCCCCACCTTTTAGGGAGGGTTTAGGGAGGACAAAAATCCCACTTCAGGGCTTTAGGGTGGGGGGCTTCACGCCCGGGCTGGGTGTGCGCGGGGCCGGCGCCGAAACCCAGACAAAGGGACGAAGGGCTGCGCCAGCCCCACGCGCCGGGATGAGGGAAAGGGGGGAGAGGCAGGGACGGGGTTAAAGCAAATAACCATAAACCCCGAGGATGGATTGCGTCTCTCCTAATAGACTGCGACAAACGGCGGCCGAGGGCACGGCGCGGCCGTACCGCAGGATTTTTATGCATCCAGCAGCATCGGGCTGCTTCTAGAAAACGCTGCAGCAGCACCAGCGCGTTCCTGCCCTTTTCCCCTTCCCTTCCTCTCTCTTTGAACCATCCAGAACCCCAACCCACCCAAAAGCCACCTGTTCCCGTGAATCCGCTCAGGCGTGACACCCTTTTCCGACGCTTATTTACGGCTCTGGTGCTTTAGGGAGTAAATCTGAATTTTCCAGGTTGGGGACACGAGCGCAGGCAGGGGGACAGTCCCTTAGGGGCAGGGGACCCCAAGACACGGGGCCCATCCACACACAGACTGTCCACGTTCCCCTCGGCGCAAGAACAAGGGGGTTACACAAAGGGTCCTTCAAAACGTTGGATCAGAAGGTGCTTTTGGTGGTGACTCGTAATTCGGGCTCAAATTGAAAGAAATCAGAGCTGGTGGGGGAAAACCCAAGAGGTTCTCGCCTGTGTAACTCCAGCCACACGCATTCCGGCTTTCCCAGCCGCCGCTCCCGGGATCCGCTCCGTAACCAAACCTTAAACAAACCTGAAATCAAATTTCTCAACGGTTTGGCTAAAACATGCCTGGTTCTGGGGTTTCTTTCCTCCCCGCAGCTTCCGATGCCTCCGCTCTGCTCCAGCCGGCACCGGGAGCCCTTTCCGAGGAGCATCACGAATCCCGGCGACGCCAAAACGTCCCCGAACAAAGGAAGAGCGAGCGAAGCGCCGCGTTCGCCGACCGAGACGGAATCCACGGCGCTGGGAAGCGCTGCAAGAGGGGCCCGGGGAGGGAAGGGGCACCCACACTTTGCCACGGTTTCGGCCCCGAAGCCCCTGGTTTTTATGGGATTCGGCTGCCGGCCCCGCTCGCCCCGGTGCTGTTGGAAAATCGGTGGGTTGGGGTGAACCGAGGGAAATAAATCAGGGTTTTGTGCGGAGCAGCGGGTTTGGGATGAATATTTAGCAGGCAGGCGGCCGCTGGGCAGCGGCGTCGGAAATACTGAGCACCAGAGACAGGGGTGAAAAAGGAAAAGGAAGAAAATTCCTGATTCTCCTGCTCAGTTTTCTGCTAAAGAAATGGGATTTTTTGGTCAAAGAGGGAAGCAGCAAGAGGTGTGGAACAGGGTCGTGTCTCTCCCCGCCAGCCCTGGCCCCACATTCCAGCCCGGCCTCGCTAGCACCGGGTTTATTTTAATCTTTCATTTTGCTTCATCGCAGGATTTTTTTTTTCCTCATTTTTTTTTTTCTTCTTCTCAGGCACTTTTCGTGCGTTCCGTGCGCGTTACAGCTCTATTTAACATCTTTATGTGGGCTCACAGCTCGGGAGCTCTCTCCTTCCCTGCACAGAAACGCTCACAGACACAATATATCTTTCTCCACACATTTCCAAACACCGAAACCCAGAGGCTGAGTCTGGCACTTGGGTTCTAAATCATGTCATTTTACACAGAGAGGGGAAGTGGGAGGGGGGCTAGGGGGGGGAAAGAGGGGGAAGAGTAGGGAAAAAAATGGAATGAGTTAAAGCCACAGCACCGGCTTTAATATTTAATCTCCTTCCATCAGCAGCTGACATACAGCAGGGTTATTTCAGCTGCTATTTTGCGGGTGTCGGAATTAAAAAGAAGATGTTGGCTGTAAAGTCTTTGGGGCGAGGGACAGGCACGGGGCTGACAATGCCACCTCGGTGCTGCCAACTGGCCCCCACGAGCACCCACGAGGCACTTCCACCCTTTTTCCTGCAGCCCCGAGCTTGGCTTTTCCCTCCCACCCCAGGGCCCCACGGCCGCGCTCGGGGTTCGGGGTTTGGGTGACACGGGGTTTGTTCACCCGAGGCTGTCACAGCTCTTTGGAGCAAACGGCTCCGAGGCAGCTCCGCATTCGCTACCCAACAGGCTGTGACAGCTCCGTGGATAAATGTGCTCATTTAAAAATCCTTATTTAATGGGAGACAATGCTTCCAGCTGGACCAACTAACGCGCCGTCTCCGTCGGCGCGAGAGCCAGGGAATAAACGCAGTGGGCTGAAGCCTGGATCTTCAGGCAGCAGAGATTTTTCCATCAGTTTAACAAGCACAACACGAGGAACAAGGGGCTGCTCCGGGTTTTTCCTCTTTTTGTAGAGCCTGTGACTGCTTTGGTGCAAAGGGAGGGTCAGGCGGGTGCCGAACGGGGCCGTGCAGGAGCCATTGGCTCTCCCGGCTGCTCCAGCTCCAGCTGGTTTTTAACCTTGACAGTCCTGTTCAGGGAACACCGACCCTGGCCAGGCACCGAGACACCTCCTGGCCAAAATTCCATGTAATACAGAGCGGGTGTAGCTGCAGCAGCACAGACTGCTCCACAGGCACACGAGTGTGCAAAGGAGCCGTTCCCTGTGGGACAGCACGAGCTCCGGGACAGCCTCTGCAGGGCTGGACGGGGTGAGGAGCCAAACCTGCCCCCTCACGCTCATCACACGGCTGAATTAATGAGCTGCCACCAACCCGGGGAGTTGCTCCCACATTAGCTCCAGCACGGCTGGAGTTACTCTGCCCACGGACGCCAGGGCACTGCCCTGACATGGCTGAAACACCTGGATCCACGGAAACAAAAGGGAACAGCAGGTGTCTGCACTGCAGTGTGGGAGGGAAATGATGCGCTGAGTGCTCAGTGTGGATAAGCTGAGCTCAAAGTCACCCGCTTTAAAAGGAGCCACCACGGGCTTCACTTCCAAAATTCATCTGGTCCTTGTGCTCCCTAGAGTGGGGATGTCCTGGGGTCTGCCTGGCTCTCCTGGCACACCTTGGGCGAGGGGCAGGACACCCACGGAGCCGTGAGGAGAGCAAAGCCCAGGCCCTGGGGGCCTGCTGGACCTCCTGCCCACACCCCAGCCCACCCAGCACATCCTCCCCACACTCCCAGCTGCGGCAGCCCCGCTGCCCACGCCCCATCCATCCATCTCGCCGTGACAGGGCTCCGATGGATTTCCAGGCTGCGGAGACGTTCCCCGCTCGCTCGGCACAAGTGCAGAGTAACTAATGCGGGGTCAGGGGTGCCCCCGGGGCCGGGGGCCCCCAGGTCGGCTGTTCCGCAGTGAGTGATGTGACCCCCGGTCCTGGCACAGATCCGGGCTCCATCTCACCCATTTCCCATCTGAGCCATGACAAGGATAATTCCCTCCCTTGCGGAGAGGCTGCACGGATTAATTCACTAATGTGCATAAAGTGCCCCGATTCGGGAGTGATTCATAGATTTAAAGGCCGGGGGGACCATTACAATTATCTGCCCGGGCCCACGTGAGTCCCTGGCTGGGCCCATTTCCATGGGAAAGGAGGGAATGCCGCAAAGACTCGTTGCTTTGAAAGAACGCCACAACGGCACGGACAAATTCTCTTATTTTCACACCTCCAGGAGACGACAGGCAAAGATTTGGGGGCTGTGTCCTCCTGGAGGGTCTCCCCGCTGGCCCAGCTTCCAGAAGAGCTCGGAGCCCCGCTGCTCCCAGTGGGAAGCTCGTGGTTGTTTGCGGTGGCAGCCAGAAGTGCCGGCAGCAGCCGAGGTCACCGAGCGCTTCTGGAAGGCCGGCTCCAGTGGCGGCATCCCCCTGCTACAGGAGGGATGGGAAGCACCTCCCGAGCCTGGAGGATGAAGGAGAAGGAGTGAAGGTTTAGAGGGATCAGCTCAAAAAAAAAAAACGGACCGTGAATTGCGCTTGCAGAGCTTGGCTCCTGCTTGGCACAGAGGGGCTGCAGCAGGGGCTCCACACCGGGGTCCTTTGACACTGGGGCCTTTTGGGGGCTTTTGACAGCAGGGTCCTTTCCCACAGGAAAAGCTGGAGGGGGAGGAAACCTCCCCTTCGGCAGCTCTGCTGCAGCAGGGTCGGATCCTGCCCTGCACCGCTGCAAACACTGGAGCACTGAGCACCCCGTGTCCTTCCCAAGTCACAGGCAGCAGGAAAAGCCTATTCCTGCTCCCTCAGTGGAAATCAGGAAGGCTCCAGCCGGCTCAATCCCTCAGGAAGGAGCTTGGGTGCATTTTGTGCCTTTCCCCCCCTGCAGATCCCCCCATCCAAGATTAAACCTTGAGATGTTATTTTTGGCACTGGCGACTCCAGAGAGCCTGTGGCTCTTCCTCTCCCTTTAAAAACCCACTCCCTCCTGCCCTGTGATTGATTCCTGGTCCTTCCTTGTGTTAAACAAAAAGGGAAGAATTAGAATAATAATAATCAGAAACTTTGGCCTGCTCTGGGCAGGGTGAGGAA